AATTAAGACTTTTTTAAGTCTTGGTTAATTTTAATAATAATTAACTAATTATATGTATGTCAGTGTTGCGGTGCAAAATAATATTTGATGTATTCTTAGAGTTGTGGTCCTTTGCTCTTCATAGTATATACGGAAACTAGTATCAACTATTACATCCAGAGACTATATTTTTTAGATTGGACATAATTAATATTCTAAGACATTTTTACATTACATATTTCTTTCGTTCTGATGTTACAGCTTTTTGTTAGCATTAGTTGATTTCATTTTGTTCCCTTAGGTAGCAAGATCAGTAAGTAGTTGCCATAAATTTCAAGGTTTTTTTACTTCATCAATCATTAATCGTCTACCTTTTTTATAACTCTATTATGCAAAATGTCAAATCATAGCTATTAATTTCGTACTGGTACTATAATTCAAATCATTTTTGAAAGCGTTAGAAATAGAACTTTCAATTTATGTAAAGTTGTAAAGATAATTGTAGATTAGGTTAAGGCAACCAGTTGATGATCTACATCGATCACCTCTGTGATTGGTAGACCTATTGTATTTACATTGTATTGTACTATTTACATTTTTCCCTGTCTTTCTTTGTATTTCAAAAATCTATGCTGATCTTTTCTTCACACGGAAAATTTTATTCCCATTTAATATTTTGTATAAGAATTTTTGTCATAATTAGATAATTGCGTTGGAAATAATATTTCATTTACTATGTAATAGATGTTGTAATAATAATCTTTATCTGATTTTCTTAACCTGTACATAAAAACTCAAATATCGGTATTAAATTTCCAATTTGGAGTAAATTCTATTATTTAACTGATAAATATAAGTTATGCTTCTACTGTGAAAGAACAGAACAGTTTCTTATAATGGGTCCCTTTTCAATTTTTTTTCTGTTTCCACAAATATTTCACTTATATATAAAACAATATAGATTGCTTAAATTTCTAATCTATATTATGACTTTAGCACTATTTTTTGTAATCTATTTATATTTTCATTTAAGAATTTATTTGTAAAATAAAAATATTTTCATTTCCATTTTTTCATTTAAATATTTAAAATTTTTTTTCAATTCAAAATATTATTATCTTTATATTGATATCAAATTATTTTAAAAATCTTTTTAATACTACGAATCAGCAGCTCCAGCAATTTTAAAAAATTTTTGAGCAAATAGAAAAAATAAATAAAAAGAGTAAAATAGTTTTAAAAAACCTCTACAAAATGTTGATTACGTTTTTATTCGAAATTAATTTTAGACACTTTAACTTTCTTCCAACCTGAAGATTAAAAATTTTTTATGTGTTTTACTGGCCTTCAGAGCGTTCTTTCACTGCACATAACTCGTATTAAAATAGTTCTGATTCCTGAAGTTTATTTCCAAATTCATTCGACCAAATAAAACTGGAATAGAAATCAAACCAACAACAACTGTGATGAGGTGCAATACTTGACAAATAAATTTGAATGCCCTGCAATTTGATAAGGTCCTGCAATGCAGACTTGTGTACTTGTAACATTAAAGGTTACATAGAGAATTTCAATTCATTGCATTTCAGCTACAATATTTGCTGAGAGTTTTAATAAATATTCGAGACTCATACAAAGGCTTTCACAGTACCTATGTAAAAAAATATTTTTAAAGATTTTTTTTATGAGCATTTCTTTTTGTTTTTTTTAAATTTTGTATTTGTAAGTGTAATTAAAGTTAGATGAATTTTTTTTATTATTTTTTTTATCATTTTTTTAAAGTGATCCGCTCTGTTATTTATTGAAGTAGCAGAAAAAGTACAGATATTTTCTGTTTTGTTGCTGTGTAGTGTGTTGAGTTTTTTACGGCAGGTTTTAGTGTTGCTGTTGTCGCAGTTCATGATGTTATCATGCTTATAAGGTCCTTTGCAGTAACTTCAAAGTCCTTTAATATACTTATCTTCTCAATTCTTTTGTGCTTGTTTTCTTTCGTTCGTTTTCTAGTACTTTTTTTTTCTAGTAATTTTCTCTTTACTTTCCACACTTACACGCATTCAGGTTCGTATATTTTTTTTAGTTTATTTCAATTATTTCCTGTTATTTCTTTTGATATTTACAATTTTTTTGATTTCTAGTGTTTTTCTGTGAAGCCAAATTATTTTTCAATAATTTTTCATCGACTTTGATATTTAATTTTATTTTTTTTTGATTTTTTGGGTCCATTTATTTGAGGTTTCTTCTTTGTTAGATAGGAAATTTTAATAAAAAGTGAAATAAATTGAATTTCCTTTTACAGTATGATCAATAAATTATGAATTTATTAGCAAAGTGCAAGAAATTATAAAGCATTGAAAAAATAAAATTCACAATATATTAAAATAAATTCAATTCATGAAATTTTTATCAGAAATTCTGCTGGAAGTAGTTTCGATATGCAAGTCAAGGCTAAGCTAGAAAAAACTTATCTCAATTCAATATAACAGCTGTAAGTTCACACAACAAAATTGCTTAATTAAGAGATTTAATCTCTGAACTAAAATAACGCACACACACATAAAATTACATAAATAATTAACAAATATGATGTGTTTTTTTTTTAACAATTATTACTATATTTTATCTGATAATTTTAAATTGCAATATTAAGCTATATGTTTCAATTCTTAATATTAACAATATAATTATAGTTCACACAAAGAAAAAACCAAATATAATTTGTAAAATTCTCTGTGGTTTAACTCAATAAATATTTTTATATTAAATATTTAATAATTACAAACACTTGTATTTGACTTATATATGATATTCTTATACATTTACATTAACGAATTATTAAAATTGTAATCTCGACTAATGTATTAACTCTAATGACCACTGCCACGTTCAACTGACACAAATTTAGATGCAAGATAAAAGCAACACTGAAATTAGTAAATTATACCGAAGTACGTACAAGATAGTTTTCGATGCGAATTGTCGATAAAAGCTACAGAAATTCAAACATTATATAAACATTTACTTGATTACTTTATTTATGTGCTTAACGTATATATGTATATGTACACGTATCTATATATATGCCTGAGTATCTTTGCTCAAGAGCTTACGTAGTTTGTATAAAACGCACACCGAACCTAAACTCGTAAATCATTGAGAAAAAAAACTGAAATTCGAATGACCACAACCAATTTAAAAATTTTAACCTTTTGACACGAAAATATAATAAAATTTTATTACAGAATTTGGTTTATGTTTGGATATGAGAAAGGTACACTTTATGGGCTTGGGAAATGAAATAAAATAAAAGCTCTCATAACAACAACAAACGCATAAAATGTTTTGTTATAAAAGAAAAACAAGAAAAAAATAATTATGATAGAAAAGTAATAGAAACTCGGAAGTTATGAGTTAAAAATATTAAAAATAGTTTTACATAATTAAAAAATATTAGAAAAAGAAATGTCATAAAAACATAAATATTAATTAAGTGAATGTTATTTTTTGTGTATTTATAAAAGTAACCACATTTCTTGATTTATTGCTATATCCTACAGAAACTCACATATGCAGTGGTTAACAATATTATGCTTAGTTGGCAATGCAGAATAAGGTGTGAACCTATATTTTATTTGAAATTTTTTCTATTTCAAAATAGAAACAAAAAAATATAAGCCCAGTGACGAAAATTTTGTCCAAATTTTACAACCACTTTATGAAGAGATTTTATCATTCTTTACTGGTTTCAGAGTAACCTTTAGCCCATGGATATATTAAATTAGACACTTCATTCCGGTCAGAAGTGGTTTCGGTCTGCCTAGGATGCATTTCGTGAAGGTCGCTTAAAATCTTCGACTGATCATATAGCGCCACTTTGGTGACCCTACCCTCGGTTTTATTACTGATTAACTGAGCCAATATCTAACTCAAATCAGTAAATTGACTGCATTTGATTATGTACGTATATGGCTAATATTTAGTGCGAATTTCGTAAGATCGAAATATGATGAGTGAACAGATATTTCAATACAAGAGTTGAATAAAATTTCGATTTTCTCTTAAACCAACAAAAGAAAGTACTAAGATCGTTTAATCTAAGTGCAAAAAATACTATCGAAGAACTAACATTTTCATACAAAGATCGAATTTACATTTTTTCTAAATCAGTGAAAAATGATAACAAAAATTAATTCTAAAATGACGTTAAGGATCATTAATTATCAGTAAAATTGTTCAAAAAATTGAACAAGTGCATTGTGTTGAAATTAAAGGACATGTATTTGAATAGTGCCCGTTCCATAAATTTTATAATGATGGTTTTTGCGCAAAATACACAGTTTAGATATAGAGAACTAATAATTTTTTATATGTAAAGACACTAAATAAAAAAAAGCGTATGATTCCAACAATTTGATAGCAAAGTGAACATATTTCTATATTATATATACTTAACATCACGTAATAATCACGCATCATGCATCGAGTTCAAAGTGCTACTCTGTGGTAGCTGGCCATCACAGGGTTTATAAAAATATTAAGTTCTAAATATTTATCTGTTAAAAATTTTTAACTCACTTTTATCTTTCATTCTTAATAATCTTTTAATAATATAATAGAAATATAAAGACTTATAAAATTCTTGTTAGATACCATAAATATAAATAAAATAATTTCCAATAAAAATAAATGACAAATACTTGTATTCTTTCATAAATATTATTGCTATTCATGTGCACTAATATAAATTAAGTCGAGTCATTTATAATTTATAAATCCTGTCCAGTTCAAGAAAATAAAATATTAACTGAGCTAAGCAAATTTTATAATTGAATGTTTCACCGAACAAAGTAATCTAGGAAATATTATTTTTGGATAAAAATAGTAACTTGCAAGTTTTCAGAAAAAAAAATTATTCTATGTTAAGATTTATATCCTTAGAAAACTAATCGTAAAATCTATTGCATTATTCATACTTTGATAATATCGGTATTACTCTACTTAAATTTACAACAGAAACAATAATAATGGCTTCATATGATAAGGACAACACAACTGAAGAAGATTATATTAGAAACCTAATAAAGGATGTCGAAAATCTGTCATTTCCACATAAACAATTAGAAGCTTTTAAATCTCTCTGTACTATAACGTCATCTTCTAATTTCAAATTAATTGAAAGTCTTGTCGCTTTGGGCGGTTTACCGGTTATATTGAGGTGTGCGAAAACGAATAAACATCCTCAAATACAAATAGAAGCTGCTTGGGCATTAAATAACATCATAATAGGATGCAAAGATCACCTTGCTGATGTGATGAAAGTGGATGCATTTCCACTTCTATGTCATTTACTCAAATCAAACTGTCTCCAGGTATGTGAACAGGCAGCCACTGCTATTGCAAATATACTTGTGACTGACAAAGAGTATTGTGCGCAAGCTGTAGATAAAGGTTTTATACGTACTCTAATTTCGATGTATTACCTGCATCTCAACTCCCCAATTATTATTCGTCGAGTTAGCTGTATTATTCGTTATATATGTCAAATCGAGTTATGCTACACCTTAGTTAAAAAGATCATGCCGGTTATAAGAACTTTGATATATCATTTGGACAAGGATATAAAACTTAATATTTTATATGGAATAACGTACCTCACAGATAATAAAGACTTTCCTTTTAAATTATTACTGAACTACGGCATACTTGAAAGCATGATTTCAGTTTTGGTTCACTCAGATATTAAAATTTTAATTGTTGCCTTGCATGGTTTAGGTAATTGTTTAAAAGATACTGAAAATTTGGTAGAAAATACTTTGGACAATAATATTCTACAACATTTAGGAGGTTTGGTAATACATGATAGCAGTTTGGTACGAAAAAGTGCACTATTTTGTGTTGGTGAACTTTTAGGAAATCCTATGAGCTACTCGCATGAGCTATCTAATATTAATGGCCAACTCATGGTAAATATTTTTATAAATTTAACTGATGAAGATGACGATGTAAACAAAGAGACAATTTATGCATTACTAAAATTATCTGCTACGGGTTCAAAGGATCATATACTAATGTTGGTACAGATGGAGAGCATTCCAATCTTAAGTGAAATTTTGGAGTATTCAAAATGTGATATTATAAAAATGATTTTGGAAATAATACTAAACTTAATTGAGCGTTCAGAGGAATACTTTGTAACAATTACTTCAATGGTCCGTAAACATATCGATTATACTACGCTGGAATATTTAATGAAACACAAAGATACTGATATTCAGAAATTCGCTAATGACATCTATACGGATCTCAATTATGAATCGCGTATTGTATAAATTGATTTAGTTTATTATGAAAATAATTGTGTTTTATGTGTTAGCATATAATGTATATTTGTATATAATTACAAATAAATATATATATATTTCTTATGCACAAGTATGATTTATGGTAAGATGTACTATTAATAAGCACACAAAAATATTATATTGGAGCAAAAAGTTTGCTATATAAACTTAAACTATACAATTTCAATATACTTTTAAGTATTAGCTGTTGGAAAAGTATCTTGGTATTAATAGCTGTCTTTCTCATTTAACATTTTCCCATTTTTTTAAGATCCTGAAATCTTTTACAAGACACCTACTACATTCTGTCAATCCATCTGGTTATCTTTCCATTTCTTTTGTCCTTCATAGAAACGTTCAAAGAGATAAGTTTAACTTTAATTGAGTGCTTATAAGCATGTGAAATTGTTTCAAATCCCTTTGATATCGAGTTATTAAAAGAGGAAACTACCGAACTGGATGAGATTTTCTTACTTAAGCTATTATGTGGCTATTAAATATATGTGCGATTGTATAGAATCTAGTTCGAATGAAGCACATAAGATGTTTAAAATGCAATATATTAATTTAAGTGCTAATTGAATATATACAAATTTTTAAGGGTTTTAAAAAACTATACGATATTTGTTTTTTCCTCAGCAAATAATTTTAACAAAAAACAGTTTTTTCGATTTATGACAACGTATTGAATTATTAAAGAAGCTCTCTGTAGGCAGTGGAGGAGGGAGTGGGGTATTTGATTTGTATTGAATTATTAAAAAAGCTTTCTGCGGATAGTGGGGGTGTGGTGAGGGGGGTTAGGTGGAGTATAGACGCCTATTTTATCACTTTAATCCATAGATAAAATTTTTTAATTTTTCATTCTCTCACTACAATCCTATTCACGTCACTGCAACTAAATCAATACTTTTGCTTAGAAATAAATAAATTTAATTATCACAAAACTTAATTAAAAATTTATTTTAATAATTAAAAATGTTCGAAAAGTGTATTAAGTAAATTGAATACTGCGTCACATACATATGAGTCAGAGGTATGCAAAGGATTTATTATAAAATTAATTAAATTTTGATATATGGCAAAATCACCTTAACCGCAAATGATTTTCAAATAAAAAAGACATTTTAGCATATTTAATAATTAATATTGGAATTAATGAAATTGTTTAGACGTTGTGGAAAATTTGATATATTAGCGTGACACATGGCGATCACATAACTGGGTACCATTTTAAGGACTCAACACACAATGTGTTTTGTTGTGTAATGTTCATAAATTTGTAGTGAAATAATCAAATGCTAATAAAATCATATACACACATACATATGTCTGCACATATACATATACATGCGTACAAATAACATCCACTAACTTTGTCATTACAATTAATCATTGTCAGGAGCATGAAAATTTAATCAAAATTGAATTGCAAAATTGTCACAATATAATGAGCTAAAGGATATGCTCGCATATGCTAACAACCTGCACTTCTGACCTCTTACAATAGACACAGTGTTACATAGTATGACAAAATTGTTGGCTAATACAAGCATGATGAAGCATTTAACAGGCACTTTAGGTTTCATTATTTTAAATTGAATATTTGCTACGGTAATTGCGTTCCAAAGGACATGCAAAGGGACATGTAATTTTTCGCTGACTTGTTATGGTTTGTTTTAGTATTCCTGTTGTTACTGTTGTTGTTGTTGTTGTTGTTGCTGTTAGTTTTGTTACGCTTGTGAATGTTGACCTCACTATTTACTATTAGTGAACGTAAAATTGGATGTGGCACATTTAAAACAAAATGGCTAGTTTTGTAAGCATAAAAAAGGGAATTTTATTAGCAATTTAGTAGTGTTCCTATACATTCCATACCTACACTTTAGTTGCACTTATTTAGTTTATTATTGTTGTTGCTGTTGTTATTATTGTTGAACAGAAAATTGTAAGCACTTCCGTTTTTGTATTTGTTTTTTTTTTTGTTTTGTTTTTCATGTACGAAACATTTCCGTTTCTAATTTTGTAGTTTTTCATTATTTTTTATGACCAAATGGCAATATAAAGCCAACATGAACGCATTTGTGGTGCCGAGTGTAACTTGTTTGTAGGCAAAATATAAACAAAAATAAAAACAAAACACAAAATGGAAACTGTGTAACATAAATGAAAACCAGCACAACCAACACACAAACATGCACACAAAATGGCAGACAAAATGTCTGCCTCGTTTAGATAGCCTAAAATATTCCGCAATATGTAAAAACAAAATAAAAAGAGAGTACACAAATATTCTGCCCACATTTTTATTGTACTCGTTCGTATCCGTACAGGGTAATGACGACACACTCCCATATAAAAACGTATGCAAACTATTAAAATGACACAAACCTAAACTAGAACATTCACAAAATTTACTCGTTACTTACACAAAATTGCCCCAATACATTCTTTAGTGAAGAATACTGTGATGCTTCCCATTAAAATTTCTATTTTTATATGGAATTGTTTGGTTGCTGGTTGTTGGTTGATGTGGAGTTTACAACCTGGTTTTGAGGTTTGGTTAGGCTATTTTATTAATCTTTTATAATAGAAAGTTTTTCACATACTCTTATTGTACTTTATGGCAGTTTTGTTTATCTTTGAGGTTCTTAAAAAGTTTAGTTGGACAAATATTGACTTGGCCTTACTCAAGTTATAAATTCTTTTACATTCAATACAAATAAATTGGTTGGGATAAGGAACAGAAACTGCACTATATATCTAACAATACTTGTGTGATATATAGCTATTTTCAAGTTATGCATAAACTTTTAAGTTAACTTTATTTAGTTATTTTAGAATTCTAAAGAGTTTTATTAGCTTAGTGCTTTACTTTCTATTAAAATTTTCTTTAAGGTATTCAAAGTTATAATTAATAATGTAAAATAAATCAATTTTTAATTTAGAGGGTTTTCCAATAGCAAAGGAAGAAAGGATAAACACAAAAATTTTATTTAATTTATTGAAATTTTGCTGACCATACTAATGCTATTTCGAGTATTGACAAGTACTTATTAACATGATTCTTCTTTGGCATTCGAAAACCCTCTGAATTTTAAAAAATAGCTTCTTTAAAAAAAAGCGAGATGGTAAGCTATCAACACCAAGTGACGAGAAATTTTTATCTAATATTCAGATCAATACTAAAATAATATCTGAATTTCTACAAATTGTTGTTAAACTACAAGAGGATGAGGCAATTTTGACAATTTCGGAGTTGATTCAGTAGCTCTTTTGAGCATTTTAGAACAATGCAATCAAGTATTCGGTATGAATATTATGCTTGATCAAATTTGGCAACACTAATAAAAACTTTAACAATTTTTAATGTTTAAAAAAAAAAATTAATTGTTTTTAAAGTCCAGTAAAATCAAATATAATTAAATGAAAATTTGTGCAAATAAAATAACATTCAAAACTAAATTAATTGAAGATAATTAAATTAAGTTCAAATTTATGCAAATAAACTAAAATTTAAAATATTAATTCAAAGGTAAATATACAAAATTAAATACACTTTATGCAAATTTGAAAAAATAACTAAAATTTGTATTCACAGCAGAGTTAAGGGAAGCAGAAAAGGACTCTTTCGTCAAAGGCACAAATAAAATGTTTGAAATCACTTGACGAAAAGATTAAGCAAGTACAGGCCACAAAAGTTTGTCAAGCGAAATCGACTTTAAATACAAAATCGGTTAAGTATAAGAATTAAAATGAAATTAACATTTGTGCAAAGAGGCATAAAAGTATTTAAAAATAGGCAAAACACAAATTAAATTAGCACAAAAAGGTCAGCAAAAAGTGCTTTAAACCGAAAGACATTTACATAAATTAAAAGCAAATAAGTAGCAAAAATGTCAGTGCAGTCAGTCTGCCCAATGCGTATTGCAGCAATAAGATTTCAAATTAAAATAGTTGAATAAATGAGAAAGGATCAAAGTATTTTCAGGCACAAGTGGTATATTCAAATTTTTGAAAAGAATTATTTCAAAAACTTCAAAGTGAAATTTTCAAGTGTATTTAAGTCAACTTAAAGTTGCTTATTTACCATATGAAGCGGAGCTGTGTGAACGAAACGAAACGCTCAAAAGTCATGACAGACAACTCTGACGTCAAGAAAGTATCTTGCACATACACATAATCCTATAACTATATTACAACATAAAAATATATACAATATAAGAGAGTAGCAAGCACATAAAAATAATGGTCAATAATTTTTTATATGCAGTCTGAGTAAAAAATTCATTTACATTAGAATGAATAATTGATTTAAATACACATTTACATTTCCGCTTTTAACTGTCTGCAGTAGCAACGTTGCTACGGCGAACGTCAGCAATTTTCACATTTCTTCACTGTAACAAACATATTTTTTTTTCACTTATTTTTTCGTTTTGGCATTTAAATATGCTAAGAGCGCTCTGCGGAACACAAAGTCCTACTTGCCTCTTCTTTAAAAATGTAATACGAAATTGTGGAAATATAATCTTTATTAAACAGGTAATCAAGCCAGCGATCCTGGCCCCTACACCAGCAATTCAAAGGTACTTCGGCTTGTACTTGTACTTCAAGTAAAACGAACATGCAGAAAATGCCACTTTTATTTCTACTGCCAACTATCACTTCCGTGCTTGTTTTAATGCAACTCTGTTCCTCGTGGTTGTGACCGTGACTGTGCCTGGTGCTTGGTGTTTGGCCTTATCATCACATCCTGTGCTATTGCTTTGGCTTTCTGTTAGTTCTTTACTGGGATTAGAACGTAGTCGGCACTTAAGTTCACGCAATGAAATTATTTTCATGTTTCCAAAGAATTTTTGGTTACTCTCGTTGTTCTGCTGTTATTGCCTTTGTTGATACAAAGTGTTTATATTTGAATTTTCTTTTATTTTAGTACAGCATTTATATGTAAATGTTTTAGTTCGAGCATGCCAGCATGTCAACATTTG